GGATGAACAGCAGCTATCTTTGGGTGGAGCTGCGGCACTCTGAAAGCAAAACAAGTCGAGTGTGGACACACCCAAACCACACTGAGTGGCAGTTGAACACCTGAGCAGGCTTTAACCTGGACAGCTGGGGTGTTAAGGTGGTGGCGGCGGCGGTTTGTCTGGCGGTTCTGACAGTAGAAGGAGGTCACCAGGGGCCATGAAGCCCCCCCCCCCCCCGGCTTCTCTGGAGTCATCCGCCAGCTGTCGTAGTGGTGGTGGCGACATGCCCATGAAAAAGAGCAAAATTAATTTGGCCGTGACAGTGATCCACAAACTGGAGGAATGTGACTCAACGGGAAGCATGTCGCTCGCAAACAGCGTTGGTCCTCACTTCCTTGTGGTGAGGGTGAGGGAATGGCAGATAGAGGAGTGGGCCACTTGCAGCAGCTCGTCTTTCCAGCTGTCGTCTTCCCCTGAGCAAAGGAAACAAACATGAGTTTGACGAGATGCAACCTGGATGTACAGTGTGATACAATGATTCGTCTACACAAGGAAGTGAATTATTGGGACTGGGAAGTGACTGAGTGAACGTTGACAGGAAGCTAGTAGGGCTGTGCAATATGACCTGAAAACATTGATACAGATGTAGTTTTTAGTAAACACTCTAAATTCTTCCTAGGTGTGAGGGTGAGTGCGGATGGTTGTTCGTCTGTGTGTGCCCTGCGATTAGCTGGCAACCAGTTCAGGGTGTCCCCCGCCTACTTCCAGAAGAGAGCTGGGTGGGATAGGCTCCAGCCCACCGCATGACCGTTGTGAGGATAAGCGAATCAGAAAATGGATGGATGGATAGATTTTAGTCGTTTTGCTACCTTATTGTCCTTTTTTTAACTTTTGTAGTGAAGTAAAGTACATTTCGGAGACTGTCTCGTTTTACTTGTACTTTTTATTTTACTTTCTATTTCTCCCCAACTATCTGTATGTCTGCTTCATTTTTCCTTTTAGTTAAAACGTTCAGAAAACATTTTCAAAGCATGAAGCATGTGGAAATGTTGAGCGCAGAACTTCGTTTCAAAAATAATGTACAAATATGTCGACTGAGATCAATTTGCCATGATATATTTTGGACAAAAACTAATGTACTGGAGATTTCAATACTCGCTCCTAAAAGATCGAATAGTTTGGGTAAATAACAGCCTTTGGTTTCTTAATTTTGAAAAAGAGCGGATGCAAAAAAACCCCAATGAAAAATAAAATAGTTATAAAGAAATCTTTTTTAACCGTTGTCATGTACTAAATAGAACCTATTTCGTATATTTAATGCATAGAAAATATGGTGAATGAATTCAAGTGACAATTTGAAACGATGACTATCACGTTTCCGAGCCACACCGGGATGCGTTGTTGTCTTCCAAGGCTGTAGGAGGCGCTAATGCTCGCGCGCACTCTTTCGTCCGCACCCTTCCATCAAACGAGCGAGCAAGGCGCTGCGTGCTGGGTGTGCTCAGAGTACGCCAACTATACTGCGTTAGCTCCTGGAAGAAAGCAAACAAACAAACAAAAGAATGACTATCTGAAGCGTCCATCAACGCCAACAATGCCAACGTTGTTATCAAGAAGAAATCGCGTTTAACGGATATTCTGCAGGGTGCGTTGCGCGGTTGTTTCCCTTGAGTTTGTGGCAGAGGAGCTAGCCTGCTAAGCTAACGAGGTGCTAACGGTGACAGCTGTGTGTGACTCAACACTAGGCTGAAGGAACAATTGCTCTAACGCGACCGTGTGTGTTTTGAAAAGCCAATTTACGATACTCGTAGCACAAAAAAACAACTCTGCCTCCGTACTTTTTAAAAATGCTTTTCAAGTTTGACAATATTTACGGGCGTGTGTTAACCGGAGCCGGCTCATGTACATTCATTTAGCTGTAGGCGCTACCGAGGAAGCTAATAATACACTCCATCACACTCCAAACCCCCTGTGTTGAAAATAAATAAAAGAAAAATAGTAATCTGTATACACATCTGTTTAAAAGAGGTGTTATATATAATGTGTATGTGTGAGACAGCTTTAAACTCAAACAATGTTTATTCAATATCTTTTTTCCAGACGTTTTGTGATGGCTACTACTGAGATGGAGTCTACAGAGCATGAAACGGTCGATCCCGATTCAAAGTACCCATTGAAAGTTCTTTATTGTGGAGGTAAAACTGTTTTTTTTCCATAGGTGTGTATGTTGAACTGGGAAATTAGGTTTATTTGTTAATTGTTTTAATGAAGACGGTTCCATTGTTAATTGCACATCCCTGCTGATGCGCACTGCTTATGCTAACAACGTGGCTGTGAAGTGAGAGGAGCCAGAGTACTAAGGCTGTGTCAGTGTTGCCAACTTAATATGTTCTCTGTGCCACCACTAGTTGGTGTTAATATTGGATTGGTGAATAAGAATTATCGATAAACCAATAAATCCATCTGTGTTTAACCAATCCAGGGTGACATTTTATGCAACACTGCCCCCTGCTGTCGACTGAAATTGACATCTCGGGCTGGCACTGCGAACATCACGCTTCACTAGTTTTCTGGCTTTGGTCATCAGCAACTTGAGATCACCGACACTATGATGATTTCATTAGTAGTGCCTTTGTTAGGCCCTCTATGGCATTTTGCATTGGGTGTTAGCATTAATCTAGCGGACCTTCGTAAGTATGTATCGTATGTCTCATGTCTTGTCTGTGATGCGGTAGTTTGGATTCATTCCCTTTTCCTCCCTCCTCTCCACAGTGTGCTCTCTCCCTTCAGAGGTGAGTGTTACATGTCAAATACTCTGTTTATTCTGTATGTCCAATTATTAATTGTAACCTGTTACATCGACAGTACTGCGAATACATGCCCGAGCCGGCCAAATGTCGGCAGTGGCTGGAGAAGAACTTCCCGGATGTTTTTGCCCGGATGACTCTCGGTAAGTGTCACTGAATGTGTTTTCTTTCTTTCCTTTGTGATGTTGGTGTTTAACAGTTTGCATTGTGTCCTTTTGTCCTACTGGCCCCGCAGTCAAAGCCCCCAAAAAGGACCCTGAGGCTGGAGACGTTCCCCCTGCTGCCGAGGAGGAGGAGAAGAAGAAGCAGAAGAGAGGTTTGAGCAACGTCGATGTACTCTGGATGGAGTGAATTGTGGGCTTTGCCGCCTCCTCCATTGCACTCACTTGTGTTGCTTTCCTCTCCAGGCGGGCGAGGCCAGATCAAACAGAAGAAGAAGACGGTCCCTCAGAAGGTGACGATAGCCAAAATCCCCCGAGCCAAGAAGAAATACGTGACGCGGGTGTGCGGCCTGGCAACCTTTGGTGAGTTTGTTGCACGAATGATTGCATGTATACTGCCTACAATTTGTATGCTGAAACACTGTGTCATGTGGTGGCGATGGTCTACAGACATTGAGCTGAAAGAGGCTCAGCGGTTCTTTGCTCAGAAGTTCTCCTGTGGCGCCTCCGTCACGGCCGAGGACGAGATCATCATTCAGGGAGATTTCACTGACGACATCACCGACGTCATTCAAGAGAAGTGGCCCGAGGTGAGTTTATGTCTATCGGTGTATTGGGAAAACAAAGACGACAAACTTCATGCTAACAACGTAGCTGTCTAGCAGCTACATTTGCTCACACTAGCTAATTGCATACAAATTGGTTGAGGCTAGCTACTTGCAGATAAATTGCTTCACACTGGCTGCGAAGCTCAGACTGGCTCGTAAAGCTCGTACCAGTTACCCATAGAAAAATTAGCTCAAAGTTGCTCGTCCTGTAACAAAGCTCAAAGTAGTAAAGTATGCGTTGTGTGTTTCAGGTGGATGACGACAGCATCGATGATCTGGGCGAGGTGAAGAAGTGAAGACCAAAATGTGCACTTTTACTGAAAACGTGGATGTGACCAGAAATGACAACTCGGCCAAATGTACACCTTAACGTCATTTTATACCTATTTTATTTACTGTACATAAAACGCTGCGCAGTACCTGGCCACTCACTTGACATTTCTTTTGGTTTCTTTCATGTTTCTCGCCAAAGGGTGTGGTCTCATGTCAGCCCCTCCACACACTGTTGTTCCCTGAAGTGAAAGCGTAGGCTCATCGATTCCGGTTTTTCCCTTGTTTAAACCATTAAAAAGATTTCTTTTCAGGGCTGCTCATCTGTCCTCACCTGCTGCCTTTGATCGTAATTGTCTGCGGGTTTGTTTATGATGCGGATTACATTTACTATTTTTCTTTGATGCCTCTCCTGGTCAATACGATTCCCTGTAGGCAGAGGTAGAAAAATCACTCGCATTCTGTACTTAAGGAAAAGTACGGCTACTTGTCAAAAATCTGACTCAGTGCTGACTCAATGAAAAAACTGCAGGCCCTGAAAAGTACGAAGTACAAATGTAAAAATGAACTTTTACTGTCAATCATAGTGTCCCCTGCATATTTCCTATTTTTATGAAAATTACTATTCACAGATTTATTTATTATTTTAAGCCTATCCTCTGTTTGCACAATATCTCTGATTCTTTGTCTTTTGTGCTCAGGGCAATACCCTGTCGGGCCATCTTCAATGTGCATGTAAAAAACTAATGTGCAAATCTCTACCTATGCCCACAGCAATCTCTGAAAATATCAAAACAATCCCATGAAGATTTTGATTTTCCTCATGAACCGACATTATGCTTGAGTGCGCACCCATTGGGAGGATGATGGTAATGTCCCGACAATCAACTATTGGTGTGATCGTTTTGATATTTTCAGACATTGATGTGGGCACAGGGTAAAATGTGCACGTGAATTTTTATGGTGATAGTTGACATTAGGCCACTTTTTTTTTTTTTTGACACTCCGCGTTTTAGACTGCCCCTCTACGAGTGCGATGAGTTGTCTTTCAGGGACGACAAAGAGCGGACAAGTGCGCGTCCCCAAGATGGATATCGCGAGAATAAATCGGGTTTTCCACATCACGCCGAATTTGGGCTCCGATTTTGCCGTTGCCAGATGACCGAGCTTCCAGCGAGGTTCCTGAAGGCGACGTGAAGTCTGCCGGTGACGTCACACTAGGCGGCATCGAACCTCAGGAGGAAAAGGAGGAGAGGGAAAAGACTGGCTGCCTGGAAAAACATGTCCTGTAACGGTACTAGGCAGCATCCACTCCGGCCGGCAGCAAGTAAGCGTCCACGGCCACACACACGCGTCCATCTTTGACGTAACTGTCACGTTAAAAGCGGCGACACGCTGTCATTTCTGTTCAAGCCGTCCCCTGTTGGTTTACGCCGTTCTATCGCTAATCTGTTGCTAGCTAGTTCGGGAATTACACGGACATGAAAGGGGCTAAAAATAGCATGAAATGAGTTTAAAACGTCGCCGTTTTGGGACGCCATTTTAATTGTGAAAAGACACATTTTGCGTAAAAGCATATTTGGCGGTGGACTGGCTTATTAAAAGTCAGTCCAACAAGACTCCCGACATAAACGCAACAAATTCCTTTTGATTATGTTTTGTGTATGGGTGACGTATGGGAACATAATTAGGACTCGTCAGAAGTAGTTGGAGGCTGACATCAGGGCCATTTGACAGGGCAGAGGGACTGCTCGTTGTTTGGGTGCGAGTGCGCCGCCTGGGCGGGGTCAGCGAGCAGAGATTTGTTGATGTACAGTAGTTCCCCTTTTCCCGCAGCGTACTCCCGCATATTCGCGGTTCACCAGTCACGTACTCGTCTAGTCCGACCGGACCAACCGCTGTTTGCTGGGGGGGAAAAAATTGATGCAGAGAAAGGTATGGGTTGCTAATGTCAGTGAGCGACGTTCACACTAGGTCAGAAGTGGGTAGAGTATTGTTACTTTAGCACACGGGTGCCCAAGTCCGGTCCTCGAGAGCCTTTATCCAACCTGCTGTACTTGTCTCGCTCCTTCAACGCACCTGATTCAAAAGATCATCACATAGTTTTGCGACAGAAATTAAAACCTTAATTATTAGTAAGAACAGTTCTTGAGAATGTGAATCTTGAATTGGCGGGGGTTCACTCCATACAGAGGCTGTGTGTGATGATGTGTGCAAGATCCTTTATTTCATCTGAAAACACACATGCGCATATTTCAGGTCCCGCCAATCACATGGTGGGGAAGGACTCCCCCCCATAAGATGGACAAAGCAGGAGCCATGAGTACAGCGGGCAAAGTTAGTGGGCTCAAGCCACCCACTAAAATATGCCGTCCACCTGTAGTGACCATGAAGACCACCCCTTCCTCAGGTACGAACCCAAGAGAGGATTAATGTTCTATTTAGTTGAGCGTACAACAATACTCACAGTCGTATATTCTCTGCGCGGTGGAAACAATAAATACAGTATTAATAAAAGAGGGAACCATGGGCGATCAGATGACAACAGTTGAGACCCGCTCCTCTGAATGAATCTCATAAAAAAATCTTGAAAACTCCCATTGCAGGAACTCCAAAGCTGCTTCCAACTTCTGAGAAGCCCCCCAGCGGTGGCGGTGCCGTTTCCTCCCCTGCTCAGGATGACGTCGCTGACTTCCAGACTGGGGAGCGGGTATGGGTTAACGGCAACAAGCCCGGCCACGTGCAGTTCGTGGGCGGCACGCAGTTTGCCCCGGGTCAGTGGGCGGGCATCGTGCTGGACGAACCCATCGGCAAAAACGACGGCTCGGTGGCGGGCGTGCGCTACTTCCAGTGCGACGACGGCAAGGGCATTTTCACGCGGCCCTCCAAGCTAACCAGAAGCCCGCTGCTGGAGAAGGAAGCCAACGGGGGGCAGGCGAAGCCCACGCAAGTGGGAAGCGAGACCGTGCCGGGTGGGACGCCATCAACGGGAACCATCGAAAACTCGCGGAATGTCTCACCTGGCGGAAAGCTAAGCGGCACGCTGAACCGAACAGTCCAATCCACTGAGACGGTGTCCAACCTGTCTGACACGGAATCCATGAAAAGGAACAAGTGGGAGCTCAGGAGAGGAGAGCGTGTCCTGGTAAGATCGGCATTCTCAATAAACCGCTAAGTTCTTCTGTCTAAACTCCACTGAAAGCTGTTTGATTATTTCTTCTGTATATTTGATTAAGTTCCGTGTACTCGTAGTATGCTCTTTGACCTGGGCGCACTGGTCGAATGACTGTGTCTTATGAGTGAAGTTTTGTTTTTCCATTTGTAGACAAAAAAAAAAAAAAAAAGTTAAATGTCGAGTATTGTAACATATTTTTATCATACCAGTAATGAGTTTCCCTTCCAGAAAGTCGCAAACTACTACTAGACTTTTTCAGCCTGCACGAATGGATTGGAGCCAGGAATGCAAATGGAATTTTCCATTAGGTTACGTTATGTCTGTTGCGGTCAGGTGGGCGGGACCAAGGCGGGTGTGGTGCGCTTCTTGGGTGAAACGGATTTCGCCAAAGGGGATTGGTGCGGCGTGGAGCTGGACGAGCCTCTGGGCAAGAACGACGGGGCGGTCGCTGGCACCAGGTACACGGCGCACCCGCTCACCGGCATCCACTTGTACTTCACATGCACGCTGCAGTCAAGTCTCCAATAACGCCGCAAAAAGTCACCAGATTTGTTTCCGGTTGCCTTTATTTGTTTATTTATTTTTAATCGTTGGAAAAGTCAAAATTGGGTAGCCCTTTCATTGTCACAAGGCCCGAATGCCGCCCCTGGTCACCATGGTAACAAAAGACAAACTCAGCATTTACATGAGATAGGTAATTTCCGTTTCCCTGATTTCCTGTTTTTCAATCTCGTCGTATGATTGCATCATGCAAATATCCTAATTGTGTTGGGTGTCCTTCCCCCAACCCGCTCAGGTACTTTCAGTGTATGCCCCGGTACGGCCTCTTCGCCCCCGTCCACAAGGTGACGCGTATCGGCTTCCCGTGCACCACGCCGACCAAAGCGAGGAGCTCGCGCCGGAGGTCCCTCCTCAAGAAGAGCCCGAGCGCCTCCTCCATCAGCTCCATCAGCTCCACCGCCTCCTCCGTCAGCGGCAAACCCAGCCGAGCGGGACTGGTGAGGCAGTGGCATTTAGGCATCGTTTCAAGGAGAATTTTTACTTCATGTCATTTTTGTTCCTCTTCCTTTGCTCAGTTGACAGAGACGTCGGCCAGATACGCCCGCAAAATCTCAGGTACCACAGCCCTGCAGGAGGCCTTGAAGGAGAAGCAGCAGCACATCGAGCAGCTGCTGGCCGAGCGCGACCTGGAGCGCTGCGAGGTGGCCAAGGCTACCAGCCACGCCGGCGAGGTGCAACAGGAGCTCGCCCTGCTCAGGAAGGGCCGCGATCAGGTGTGTGACGCCAACGCCTCCAAACATTACAAAGAGTGGATTTTATCTTATTGACATTTGCTCATTGTTTTCGTAAAGTCATCTTGTTGGGCAATATGTTCATTTGATATTTTTGGCACTTAGATGTTCATTCACTGAGGAAAAGAAATAAATCTGAAATTATTCCTTGTTACTCAGGTTTTTTTCCAACGAGTACTTGCTCAAATAATTACTTACGGGACTACTTTTCACTTTTACCCGAGTCACATTTTTGTGAAGTGACAGTGCTCCCAGTTGAGTGCACCGCGTACTAACTTTGCCGACTCTGACAACTTGACATGAGAAAATGAACCACTTGCTAAATATGCGCGTGCGTGTGTCAGTACGCCGTGGAGACAGAGGCCAAGCTGGACCAGCTGAGGTCGATGGTGGAAGCGGCCGACCGGGATAAAGTGGAGCTGCTCAACCAGCTGGAGGAGGAGAGAAGGTAAGGCGCCCGAGCCTGACGTCGCTTCAAACTTTTCTGCTCACGAAAGTCTTCTGGACTATTTTTGTCCTCCCGTGGCAGGAAAGTTGAAGACCTGCAGTTTCGCGTGGAGGAGGCGTGCATCACCAAAGGCGACCTGGAGGTAACTTGATGCTTACATAATTGGTCTGTTTTTCACAAAGCCCCGTTCAAAAACTCCCGATTCATAAAACTTGAATCCACCTCAAGATGACTGTCGGCGAATCTTCATTGTCGCAGCTGTTCCATGGGCTTCTTCTTCCACGCCAAACTCTTAGAACAGGGTTCATGTACCGCCCCCTCCAAATAAACGCAACACACGGCCACGAAGCTATCAACTGCTGGCAACCTAGGTGACCGTGCCGAAAATGCCAAATTTGGACTTTGCCATTTTTTTTTTTTCTTTTTGCATTCCGTGACAGTCCACCTCCAACTTTTTAACTGTCCATTCATTCCTGCTTCATTCCCATGCGCGGAGAGCGTTGTACGTCTTCCTCTTGTCACCTCTCTGTCTTTTCAAAGCCGATTTAGCAGCGACGAGAAGAGACCAAGGCGGGCGCAGTCTTTGGTCACCTCTCAACCTCGGCCTTCATTTTCCATATTATCTCACCTCTCACCTCAACTGCCATCGCCGCCGTACGCTTTACTGAGCAAACTCACCCGCCACCTCGTGTCCCCTCACCCGCTGCCACCTTACTTACTCCTTTCACCTTCCCAACATCGCCTCCTCTGGCAACTTACCCGGCCCTTGAGTCGTCAACTTAGCCGTCACTTCACCTGTGACGTGTCCTTAACAACCTAACCTTTCACCTCACCTCATCTACCCACAGACCTGTCAACTTAACCCGTCACCTCACTTTTGCCGCCTTACCGTCAACTACCCGGACGCTCTTCTCTTTTGTCTTCTCTCATCGGTGCTAAATGAGCCGCTGGCACACGGCTTGTTGATGTCACACTGTCGCAGCGTTTGATTGTCTGACCGAGTGTGCTTCCTCTCTGCGCTGCTTGTATGTGGCCTCAAGTATGCACGTCAGCCGCTTTTTGGCTTCTCTCTCTCTCTCTCTCTCGCACTAACAGACGCAGATCCGCCTGGAGCACGCCTGCATTAAGGAGCTTGAGCAGAGCCTGCTCTTTGAAAAGACCAAAGCCGACAAACTCCAGCGGGATTTAGAGGACGCCAGGGTAAAAATCTGAAAATGGCCACCGGGTGCCCGAGCTAGAGTTAAAAAAAAAAAAAAACACACCGCCTTTACAGACACTGAAGCTCAGTTGGGTCGCCGATTCCTATTTCACTCCAGCAAAATGAGCACGTCGGAGCTGGAACTGATGCTCCAGCATCCACTTTTGCCTTTTAGCCGGTGCCGAGTGAATCACACGCTGTCCTGCCTCTGTCCCAACTTAAATGCGAACTCAACTTCAACACCCTGTTCCATAGCAAAAACCTTGGACAGCACAGCAGGGTGCACAGCAGGGTGATTCTTTCCTAAGGGAAATCGAGCTTGCATTTTTGTAGAATTCCGTGTTCGTCAGACTTTTTGAAACGGAATCATCACCAAAAGCGAGGTTTCATTGTGACTCTTCCTACTTCCGTTTTCACCACTCAACAGTAGCCACCGCTAGCGCGAGCAGATCGCTGACATCCAGCCGGGCGGTGTACAACAGGACTCGTTCTCCTCCTTGCCGTGCAGGTGGCCACGGTGTCGGAGCGTTCACGCATCATGGAGCTGGAGCGGGAGGTGTCGGACCTGCAGCTGCGTCTACGGGCGTCGCTTCAAAAGGAGGACGCGGCGTCGCTCTCCCAGCAGCAGCTAGCCAGCCTGAAGGCCCAAGCCCAGTCCCAGGAGAAGAAGGTCGCTTCTGGCTCCTTGGTCAAACGCAACCGGAATTCCTCAGATGTCAATACACGGGCCTCCGTCTTGTCTGTCGCAGATCAGCGAGCTGAGCGTGGACCTGGAGAGTCAAGACAAGGCGCTTCGGTCCGTTCGGGACGAGAAGGACTTGTTGCAACAGCAGCTGAGCAGCTTGGTAGGAGAAGAACAGTGTAAAATACGTTGCCACTAACTGTCCAGTGGGATTGCGCCGAAGTCATCCTACTTACAACTAGCAAATAGGACCAAAATAATTGGTGTCAAGGAAGTATGTTCGAGTGTTACCTCTCCGCTGTCGAACCTCTTTAAGCGGTGGGGAGGAGCCAAGTTTTGTCTGGGTTGTTAGCGCAAGTCATCGAGTGCCTTTGCTGCACGTCGATGTTTTTGATCTGCTCAGGTGCTATTTAAAAGTTCCGTCTCGCAAACGTTGGAGGTCTTGACCGTGGGTAATTTCAGCGAGTGCGAAGGAGAAAGAGCGACCACTTAATTTTTTTATTGTTATCGTACAAATTCCTAACCACCTTTTGGGAGGAGGGGGAGTGATGGCTCAGGGTTTTCTGCTATACTGCTGACTGCCCGGGGATTAGTCTGACCTCTTCAAACAAACATGTTATCCTGCCCGCAAACGATGTCACGTTTTGTTCAAGTTCAGTCAAGACAGGACGTGCGAGCGCATTTACAGCATACGCAGTTGTCTGCATTTCTTTGGACTCGAGGGCATTGTTGAAGTGGCCTCATTAGGAGGCATTTGCTTCACGAAGCTCATTCCTGCCCGATGGAGTCAAAGGACAAGAACGCTTCTTGTGTCTTTCTCCTCTGCAGAGACTACAGCTGCAGCGGGCTGAGCAAGAGAGCGGCAAGCTGACGAAGGCCACGCAAGGTAAACGGCGCGCCTCACTTCACCTCAACCGCCTCACTTCTCGTCACCTCATTTCCTTCGGAACCTGTCATGTCACCTTACTTGCTGTCCCACCTCTCCCTTGGCTTTCTTCCGAACCTGCCCGGTGACCTGCCTTACCCTCCACCTCATGTGTCACCTCACTCGCCGCTTGAGCGTCAGCGTTGCCATCACTGACCCTATCCTACGTGTCGCCTGCTGTTTGTCAGAATTGGAGCAGCGGAAGAAGGACTTGCAGGAGCTGAAAGAGGCGAGTCGTTGCCGGGAAGAGGACCTCAAGGCTCGGCTGTCTCAGGTTAACGTTGACATTGAATTGCACTCCGGCACGATGTCCCATCGGAATAATCCCTGCTCTCATTGGCATTTGAAGCTTTGCGACATTATGAACTCTTAAGTTTCCAAATCAAACGTCTTTCAGACTGTGAAATCGGCAAAAATGTATGAGACGTGCAAGTTGTGCACCGGTGCATCAACAACTAATCCATAATCCAATTCATCGCTAATTATTTTTGCTCATCATTTTCAGAATTTCGTCTCCTCACCAGTAAATATTCTCCGATTCTCCATGAAAGCAGACAGAATATCTTTGTGTCAAATCAAAACAAAGCATTTGCTTTTACTTTGGAAAACAATGTTTAGCATTTATTCAGTTTTTTTTTTCCCCGACATGAGGACCAAACCATGAAAGTAACGGAATCATAATTCCTTTACGCTTGTCCATTTCCTGCACAGTCGATTTGAAATGACGTCCTGTCTTTTGAATCGAGGGATAGACATTAAAATGTAGTTTGATTGATTCATCCACAAAATGGTCCGCGGATGGATCGATGCTAGATATCGATTAGTTCCAGCCCTAAAATGTCTTTGGTTTACTCCCTCTGCGGCCTGTTCCCAAACGGGATCTGCGGTTGGCGAGCCTCGCTTTAAATGGAGCACCTTCACCCCCAGGGGCCGGCGTACTCTGCGTTCCCATGCACGCTCTGGTGAACGCAGAGCATCAAACGTATTATTTCATGCTCTCGGGCGGCTGACGCAGCGGTAATAAGTCACATGCTTCCCATCTTGTCGACGCAGGCCATCGAGACGTCCGAGGGGACTTTGCTGTCCGTGGAGAAGCTGACCGATGAGAAGAAGGCGCTGGAGACGCAGGTTAGAACGCGTTGGCTCCCCTGCCCACAGGAAGTCACGCCGCACATTTTAAAAGCGGCCCAGCGCACTCGCGATGACGCTCTCAAATCTGTGTGAGGTGTGATGATGTAATCCTCACGCGGCACACCTCATGTGACAACGCTGACTAATCGAAAGAGAAATAATCCCTTCAGGTGGTTAAACCGTTGCCGTCCTCGACCTCCACTCGCTGTGCTTGGGGAAAATCGGAGCCGAGTGACATTTGAAAGGAGACATAGTCGAGATTTAAAACAGTCCCCACGAAGACCCCAAAGTCAAAGTGAGAGTCTTTGTGTGGCTGTTATCATTTCCATTCATGGCTGTGTGTACATTCGAGTAGGGGTGGGAAAGCGATCGCAAAAGCGAGAAGCAGTTTAAGAAACCAAAAATGTAAGAATTTCGTCGATTTTGGTTTGCATTTACCGGTAATTAGTGCACCAATTATCAGGCGCACCGACTGTATTTCCGATGCCGCAATCCGTTCTAGTCACTGATAACCTTCTGCGGTACAGCAAAAATCTTATATCCGAGACCGTTTGACGAGCAGCCAGGATAGAGAATACTTTTGTCGCTCCGTTGTTGATATGTGAGACGAGATTTGAAGCCAAACCTTGAAACCGTGAGGCAGGCACGCTCACCGCTACTTGCTGTGCTGCCAAAGTCCGAATGTTCTTTGATTTCAAGTGACGTTCAGTGTTCACGACGAGCGGCAACATCAGCTGATGCTTCCGGCCTGATGCGTGATGCTTGCCGTCGCCGGCGTGAAAACTAAAAGCTGCAGCGGCGGGGGGATGGGGGGGGCGGGTCTTAGTCCTGCTTACATAATTGAAACCAGAGAGAGAGAGAGAGAGAGAGAGAGAGAGAGAGAGAGAGAGAGAGAGAGAGAGAGAGAGAGGGAGAAAACCCTCACAATCGCTTGTAGAGTATTGGCGGTGCTAGTAGGGGGTAAGCACTTTATCGATGCCAGCGTAGCAGGGGGAGCTACCACGCAGGTATGGACGTTGCGTCGCTGCGTCACGCTTACTCCGGAGGCGTGTACTCGCCTTGCTACCAGGTACGACTCGTTGCCTCTTTCACACATAGTGACTCACCTCTCAAGACCTCCACAACTCTGTCAGCAGCTCATCGTGCAGAAATGTTGCAACCGGAATAACCCCGTGATACGCAGACACTTATTTGCTCACGGGACATTTGTTTTTAAATGGTTACCTTTACCGCACATTGGGACAAGTTGGGACTCACAGTCGCCACTGTCCTTTAGAGGGATGCCAAGGGCTCCAATTCTTTCTCAAATTCTGGATGGCACGACAAGATCCAAAATGAGCTCCTTGAACCGAAACGGCAGACTTCCTGGTTCCTTTTTCGCAGGTCTGCGCTTGATGCGCACGGCTACCGCATTTCATGTTTCCAAGCAAAGCGCACGTGTTTGGCGGCCTGTTCCCAAACGGGATCTGCGGTTGGCGAGCCTCGCTTTAAATGGAGCACCTTCACCCCCAGGGGCCGGCGTACTCTGCGTTCCCATGCACGCTCTGGTGAACGCAGAGCATCAAACGTATTATTTCATGCTCTCGGGCGGCTGACGCAGCGGTAATAAGTCACATGCTTCCCATCTTGTCGACGCAGGCCATCGAGACGTCCGAGGGGACTTTGCTGTCCGTGGAGAAGCTGACCGATGAGAAGAAGGCGCTGGAGACGCAGGTTAGAACGCGTTGGCTCCCCTGCCCACAGGAAGTCACGCCGCACATTTTAAAAGCGGCCCAGCGCACTCGCGATGACGCTCTCAAATCTGTGTGAGGTGTGATGATGTAATCCTCACGCGGCACACCTCATGTGACAACGCTGACTAATCGAAAGAGAAATAATCCCTTCAGGTGGTTAAACCGTTGCCGTCCTCGACCTCCACTCGCTGTGCTTGGGGAAAATCGGAGCCGAGTGACATTTGAAAGGAGACATAGTCGAGATTTAAAACAGTCCCCACGAAGACCCCAAAGTCAAAGTGAGAGTCTTTGTGTGGCTGTTATCATTTCCATTCATGGCTGTGTGTACATTCGAGTAGGGGTGGGAAAGCGATCGCAAAAGCGAGAAGCAGTTTAAGAAACCAAAAATGTAAGAATTTCGTCGATTTTGGTTTGCATTTACCGGTAATTAGTGCACCAATTATCAGGCGCACCGACTGTATTTCCGATGCCGCAATCCGTTCTAGTCACTGATAACCTTCTGCGGTACAGCAAAAATCTTATATCCGAGACCGTTTGACGAGCAGCCAGGATAGAGAATACTTTTGTCGCTCCGTTGTTGATATGTGAGACGAGATTTGAAGCCAAACCTTGAAACCGTGAGGCAGGCACGCTCACCGCTACTTGCTGTGCTGCCAAAGTCCGAATGTTCTTTGATTTCAAGTGACGTTCAGTGTTCACGACGAGCGGCAACATCAGCTGATGCTTCCGGCCTGATGCGTGATGCTTGCCGTCGCCGGCGTGAAAACTAAAAGCTGCAGCGGCGGGGGGATGGGGGGGGCGGGTCTTAGTCCTGCTTACATAATTGAAACCAGAGAGAGAGAGAGAGAGAGAGAGAGAGAGAGAGAGAGAGAGAGAGAGAGAGCGAGAGATGGAGTAAAAGGCTGTTCTGTCTTCCTCACAATCGCTTGTAGAGTATTGGCGGTGCTAGTAGGGGGTAAGCACTTTATCGATGCCAGCGTAGCAGGGGGAGCTACCACGCAGGTATGGACGTTGCGTCGCTGCGTCACGCTTACTCCGGAGGCGTGTACTCGCCTTGCTACCAGGTACGACTCGTTGCCTCTTTCACACATAGTGACTCACCTCTCAAGACCTCCACAACTCTGTCAGCAGCTCATCGTGCAGAAATGTTGCAACCGGAATAACCCCGTGATACGCAGACACTTATTTGCTCACGGGACATTTGTTTTTAAATGGTTACCTTTACCGCACATTGGGACAAGTTGGGACTCACAGTCGCCACTGTCCTTTAGAGGGATGCCAAGGGCTCCAATTCTTTCTCAAATTCTGGATGGCACGACAAGATCCAAAATGAGCTCCTTGAACCGAAACGGCAGACTTCCTGGTTCCTTTTTCGCAGGTCTGCGCTTGATGCGCACGGCTACCGCATTTCATGTTTCCAAGCAAAGCGCACGTGTTTGACACGGCGTCATCGCGAATGTGAAAGTTCTAATAAATTATTGACTCCTGCCGCGCGTGTTTGAAAGTTTATTTTTAGCCACGTTTGGAGTGTTGCAGTCGTTCATATGCGTTCGCCGGTACATGTAAGTGTTGCTTCCCTGTTGTCCTGCGACCCTCTGCCGCTGCCGCCGCTTGTCGTGAACGGTTTATTCATGACGTATTCGCTTTTCCGACCTTCACGCGTGTTTGTGTGTGCAGGTGGACACACTGAAGCAGCAGAATTGCAAATACCAGGAGGAGCTAAGTCTCGCTCGGGAGCAGCAACACCACATCCATGAGTCGTAAGTCGCATTCATGATATGCTGTGCGTCTTCGGAGGCATTCTTTGTTTTTTTTTGTTCTTGTCATATGTTCAAACAATCAAACGGGGACAATCTGCAACATTGAGAGGCCATATTAAAAAAAAAAAGCATCATAACATCTGATAGTTTCTAAAATATATGGCATAGTTTGATCCCTCCCATCTGCCTGAATGCATTAGACATTCACATATTTTCAAGTGTTGATTAAGTCCTGTTCTGTCTTTCTTGCGACGAAGAAACGGGTTGATGATTCATCGTAGAACCTCACTTTGAAGGAGCAAAGAGAAGACGCGGGCGCATAATCCGCCTGCCTGTGAGAACAACGCATCCTACTGCAACTTAGTTGGGGAACCTCTCTGCCTCTTTTTCTTGCGGTAGTGAAAAATAGTTATTCATGTTGCAGGTGATGCGTTCATTTATTGGCATGGACGACACACCTCCCGATGAATTGAGACATGGCGTCGAATGGAGCAGAGGCTCCCTTTGGAGGAAAGATGCCGTAATTATTCAAAGTAGCAGATGATGCGTGTTGTTTTTCTGGTGAGCTTCTGCCCGATGTTCACATTTATTTTTAGAATGTCTGCGCATGTGCGCGGGTGTTTTTGCATGGTACACGCCCCCTCCCCACCGTGATATGTCAGCTGCGGATGCATGTAATTGGCTGAGCTATCATCACACACACACACACACACACACACACACACACACACACACACACACACACACACAAAACAAAACACTTCCCGCTTCCGCCCATCACTCTGCCGGTGTTATGTAATTGCTGTCCTCCTTGCGCCGCCTGGCTCCAGCAATGACATCACGGTGTGTGCGCGTGCGTGTGGCTTTGTAGAGCGAGAACATCTGTTAGCTTCGCAGCTCAGATGTTTGTTCCAATGAAGACTGACAAGGCAGTGAAGTTGCTCTCGTTTTTGTTGTTGACATGTCTCCAAGCTATGCTAGGATCGTTTCAGGACAAACATAATTGATTACAGGATGCATGTTCTCCTCGTGCCTGGGTGGCTTTTCTCCGGGTATGCGGCTTTCCTCCCACGTTCCAAAAACTTGCATGGCAGGTTGACGGAACACTGGAAATTGTCCAGAGGTGTGAATGTTTGTTGTTTGTCGATGTGTGCCCTGCGTTTGGCTGGCGACCAGTTGCGGGTGTCCGCCGCCTACTGCCCGAAGACGCCCGCCGCCCTCTTGAGGAAAAAGCGCTTCATATCATAGATGCATAGGAATCCATCTGACGTTGATACGAATTCAAATGTGACACGTACTCCTCAAGCAGTGACAAACATGAATCAAACATCAAAATATCAATTAAATCTTCCAAAGTTCGATTCAATTCAAGCTTATATAAAAACGACTCTCAATACGAGTTTTGAATGTAAACGGAGCCATCAATATGAATCACCATCGAGACGTTCGTTCGTCTTCATCAAAAATGGGAATATGTGTAAAGTCAGTTTTTTTTCTTTTTGTTTGTTTTGTTTTTTTGTGCAGAAAGATGCCCACTGAGGACTCTGGTGCCCAGGAATCCCCGGACGCGGTTGCCAACGACAAAGACCGCGAGCTGCAGACGCTGCGGAACGAGGTGCTTGGCCAGAAGAAGGACCCCGCCATCGATCCTCCTTGCTCTTCATCGTGGCGTCTACTCCGCTTTTCTCCCGTCAGGTGGCGGCGTTGCGGGGCCAGAACGCCGTGGCCGAGACGCTGCGTTCGGCCGTGGCCACACTGGAGCACGACAAGGCTCAGCTGCGGGAGCGCGTCCGCGACCTGGAGCAAAGGCTCCTGAGACGGTCGACCTCGGAGGACGGCGAGCGGGAGGAGGCTCTTTCAGGTGACCAGAGTTTGAGTTTTCTTCGCCCTCCTCGGAGTTAAGGTCAGGGGATGTCGGGAATACTTGTCAACTGTGGGCATGTGAAGGCCTTTGAGACGGTTTGTGATGAAGGGCGAAATCAAATGTGACTTGACTTGAATACAAATATAAATAGCAACCTTTGGACCAGAATTTTCTCAAAGAACTCGACCTTCACTTGGGACTAGAACCCGGAGACGAGAGCGGGACCTTCTCTGTCATTTTCGTGAGTCGGAGCGACCACGTGTCGATTTTGTTCCTTAACTCGCCACCGCCCCCTTCAGGTGACAAGGCTCTGGAGCAGCTTAAGGAGGAGAAGGAGTTCGCCGAGGGTCAGGTGAGGCGGGCGCCCATCCGCATGCCGCCGTCGCCGTTGTCACCAAAGCCGACGTTTGTCCAAACGTTTCTCCCGTCAGATCAACTTCCTGAACAGCGTCATCGTCGACCTGCAGCGCAAAAACGAAGAGCTGAAGATCAAACTGAAGAAGCTGGCCGTGGCCGAGTTCATCGGCAACGACGCCGCAGACGGGTAAGAGCGCACATCGAAATCATCTACGGGCAGCGTGGTGCACCGGTGGACGGCACGCATCGCAGTTCTGCCGTTTGCGGTTCCAAACTTGCTCGCGTGGGTTTTCTGCAGCTACTCCGGATTCGTGCCACCATCCGAGATGTGACAGCGGCCTCGGCCTGACATTCGATCTCTAAAAATTTACCACTCGGGCACTTTTGGCCAATTGAAACGCATGAAAAGGATCTGTAGATATCGATATACGTTTCGATGTATTTTTGGACTTTCTTGTTCTTTACCCGGATTAAATCGCGCATTTGTTGTAGTTGGCCCGTTCGTTGCGTACAAACGGACTGAGAAAAATGTTCCCCTCATTTGGTCAGTGTGGAGCCGGCGGAGTCCAAGCATGACAAAAAAGCTACGCTGCGTCCCTTCTGCGACATCTGTGACCGCTTCGACCTGCACGACACGGAGGACTGCCCCACGCAGGCGCAGAGTCCCGACGCCGTGCCGCACTCCAGCTACCGCGGCCACCGTGACAGTGAGCGGCCGTACTGCAAAATCTGCGAGGTCTTTGACCACACCACTGAGTCCTGCAGCGACGATCGCACCTTCTAGACCTTTCTCGGATGCAAAACCTCACCGCTCCCGATATTCGGCCACCGACGTAAGTAGTTGACCGCGGCCGTTCGGGAGCAAACGTTCCTTTTGAGCCGCCCAACCAATCGGGTCACCTCATGTTTGATGTCATCGGACATGAAAACTCAAAACTGTCTCGATGGCGAGGTTCAAATTTGGTCGCGCTTGGATCAAAATCGAGGTGGAGTTTCTCTTTGAAGGACCCATGAAAACGGCCAAAATGGCTCAAAAATGTCTGCTTCAAACCAAAACGCCATGCTCCTTGTACCTTTTCGGCTCTGTGCTCCACCCACATGCGTTGACAAAAAATATATATATATAATTTATATTTGGTGTCGTTCATCTGTCTGGTAGAAGAGGTTCAAATTTGGTCGCGGTTGGACAAAAGCCCCAGGACTCACTATTAACGACCCCACGTAACAGCCGGAATGAACCTAAAATGGGTGACGCCCCATGTCTTTTCAGGCATGCCATTGTGAGTTTTTTTTTTTTTTTTTTTTGGTGGTCTACTCTTAATAGACATGGCTACCAAATATTGTGTGCTCAAAGTCTGAATTTACACAAACATGTTCCCGGTATAAGGCACTGATGAAAACGCCAATATTTTGTAATTTGGCCTCACCTACATGCTCTAACGTAGTTCAAATTTGGTCAAAATCAAACAAAATCTCCAGGATAAGTTTGTCTTTGAAGAATAAACAAACCAGTTCACGTTTTTATGCAATTCCATAACCGTACGTCCTGTTGCGTCATTTCCTAGTTGAATTAGCATCGACAGCACATTCTAGAATCCCCTAAAATGTTTTGACACCCCCTGCCCCCCCCAAAAAAGACATTTTCTGCAGCAAAGCATATCCATGAATCCGACGTGTTAGGAATGTCCGTGATGTTACTGTTTTATTTTCAGACTCCACTAGACTGTTCTGCTTTCACAAACGTTACACTTTTAAAAAAAAAATAAAAAATAAAAATTGTCCCTACTATGCTAAGAGGAGGCCCGGTGATCACCTGGAGAGCACGTCTGCCTCACAGTGCCGAGGTCCAGAAGTTCGATTCCGGGCTCCGGCCTTCCTGTGTGGAGTTTGCATGTTCTCCCCGTGCCCTCGTGGCTTTTCTCCGGGTACCCCCGTTTCCTCGCGCATTCCAAAAACATGCATGGCAGCTTAATGGAACACTCGAAATTGTCCCGAAGGTGTGAGTGTGCGCGCAGATGATTGTTGGTCTATCTGTGCGATGCAATTGGCTGGCAACCGTTTCATGGTGTCTCCTGCCTGCTGCCCAAAAACGGCTGGGTTAGGCTCCGGCACGACCCTCGTGAGGACTAAGTGGTTCGCATAATGGTTGGATGCCATGTGAAGACATTTTTGCTCTTAAAACACATTTTAGCGTCGACACTTTTAATAATTAATCATGTTTTCCTTGTGATTAATCTTTGTTTCCAGTTGTTGTGTTTTTTTTACCCCTGATATTCGCGGATGGCCTCAGCGATGTAAGCGAGCAAGCACGATTCCGTTCTTACTGTAGCAGCTCTGCAAACTTGCCGTCTTTGCACTGTTCACTTTAACCATGAATAACGGCGTCAATGCGGTGTTTGCAACCATTATTGACAAATATGTTGCTTTTTTTTTTTTTTTTTTGCGTGTTGGAAGAATGGTTTTCAAACGTAATCACTTTCAGATGATCGTGTTTGTAATGATCACTGTATGAAGCTGTTCTTTTGTTTTAGCTTTAGCGTAAAGACTGGCTCGTTTGTTACGTTAATGTAATTCAAAGGCTGGGATGGGAAAGAGGGAATCAATTCATTGAGCATTTTCATAAAGCGAAACAGCTTGCTTGGCACCGCCCTCATGCTAACACAAACAGAATTTCTTCAACATATCAATGTCATGGGGAAGCACAACTTTTGGTGGATCTTACTGAATCTCCGCGCGTACAATGTGACTCGCGTTTTGAAAAGAAAAAAAAGTATATAATACAGATCAGAAGCTTCTTGTGTGACCAATGTGCGCACACTGCCATCATGCAGCTCAAGTGTACAAAACGCTTATTTTTCTGCTCTGTTTATAAGATGCCCTCCCATTTATTGTATAGAAAACAAAAACTTGTGCACTTGGTACGTGATGCATTCATGTTTTATATGTCGCGGGCGTCTCCGGATGTGTTTGTCAAATGTCCCTTTTTCTATGTACTCTATCTGTACTTTTAACAGTCCAATACAAGCAGCAAGTCCACGCTTTCACCGACCCAGCTTTTTTTTTTTTTTTTTTAATATTGAGAATGAAGAAAGGGTTGTGACTTCCAAGTGTGGTACCATCTTGCTTGTTTTTTGCAAAGTCACCAAAATTTGTCATTAAAAAGACACTTTTTTTCCCAGTTTAACATTGCTCGTTTGTCGAAAAAAAAACAAAAAAAAAACCGCTATGACGTTGGGACAAAATCTTGAGGAAAGGTTCGTTTTAAAGGACCTCTGGAAATTGGGAATTGTACCTACAAACAGCCACAAGGAACCAACATGGCAGACTGCCAAGCTTGTCCTCTTGAGAATTCTGGGGGGGGGGTCTACGCGATTGTATACATGTCTTCTAAATTTCAGGTTTTGAAAACATTATGGCTTTCACAGCTGAGTTTTTCATTGATTTCATGTTGCCAAGTGAAACTGGTTTTGTGAATGGGATTTATTTAAAAAAAAAAAAAAAAAGACACCATGAGACTTTTTTTGTGGCTCTACTCATGATTGATAGTTTACCGAATTTCACATTGCTGAATGAAACTGGCTACGGGGGCTCCGCTTTCAAAATTCCAGCGGGGTGCAAGTGGCGCGAAGTACAACAGAGTCCAAAATTTTGAGAGTTTTATTAAGAAACAAAACCATTGGACGATAAAAACCAAGCACTACCGATGGAATAAATAAGTCAAAACAAAGCATAAATCTGTACAAGTTCTAGAATGAAACAAACAAAACTGGTCCAGAAGGTGTGAGAAGAGGAAACAAAAGAGGTACAAGATTTCACACTGTGAACACACTTGGAAGCGACTCCTGGGCTCAAATCGGGTGAAAAGCTACAAAGTGTTGGGAAAAAAAATGAGCGCAAATATTAATGCTAAGTCATTTCACTGTCAATGTCATAGAGAATAGCATTGGAAACTCCAGCGCGGCTGGACTGGGAATGAGGTATATGCTAATCCGTCCTCCGAACAGCGTCTCTTCTCTCCGACCATGTGCGCGCACCCGTTAGCTAGCCGGCTAGCCAGTCTGCTACCTGCGGGAAGTTCACATCGAGCCATGCGGATCCAGCCATTAGACAGCACCAGAAAACAAAATGTTCATGGAAAACATTTTCTAATTGGAAGTTAGCATCGCTTTTTGTCCTATTTCCGACATTACCTTTCCTGGATGCTAAGACACGCTAACCTAATTGGGAGTTGGGATGACAGTGATGATAAAAAAACAAACGCAGTAGTGTCAAAACAGGGCTCTTTGTCATCTCATTTCCCATTTTCCTCTGATTTCATGCTAAAATATGCTAACCTGGTTGGTTGCCTGGATAGGTCCATTAAAAAAAAGGGCCGCGACTTTAGCATCAAGTCAAACACGCCTCGTTTTGTCATCCTATTTACTGGTTTCGTCCTGCATTCAGACTTTTCGTCAAGCTATGCTAACCTTGTTGGGTTCCTAGAATATTTTGTAAAAAAGATGCTAAGATGCACGAACATTACTGGGCGTCGTTGACATTAAAAATGCGAGGACAGTCAAGCCCACAAGCAGCAGGGTGCACCTCAGTCTTTCCTATCTCCTGGTTTTCTCATGTTTCTGGACTTTATGCTAAACTACGCTACAACCGCCACATGGAAAATTTAGCATCAAGCTAATTAGGCCGCAATTTGTACTCCTATTTTCTGGTTAAGGTACACTAATTAAAAGAGGACAAATCTTCCTGGATTAACCACCCCCTCCCTCACCCCCCAAAAATAAATGCTTGCGGACTTTATGCTAAAATATGCAACATTAACTGAACCTGTAGTGTACGATGACATGCCCCCTTTCATTTTTTTGTATGGAATAAAGTTTAAGGCAAAATAAAAGATGGCACCACCAACTGCCAGCCTCTCATCCTACAAGGAGGACAGAAAGGCTTGATATTGCTTCCTGACTTTGTGCTAAGCTAACTGAACCTATAGGATGTCTGTCCGGAATTAATTTTTAAGGCAAAGCCAATAAGATGGCACCACAAGCCGCCTTGGGTAAAAAAGCGGGACACTGTCTCCATGGAGAGAGAGAAGAGACTTCCACTAACAGCAGCACTTTTTTTTCTCCTGTGATCCATTTTTCGTAACAGTGCGTTGACCCTCCTGAGGAAAAGAAACCCTAAAATCAATCTAGTGGGACCATCCGGGCACACCCCCCCCTCCCCCGGAATCCTCCTCTATCCCGGCGGATGCTCCATGTTGGTGGATTGGAAGCGCGGCATCAGATTTCTAACATCCGTGGTGTACAGAAGGAGGATGAGGTGGGGAGGGGGTGGGTCGATTCCCCCTTTGGGACAGGGGGGGGGGGGGTGTCTGTGGGAGTCCATTAGCCCTAATAGAGTTAATGGAGGGGGAGGCATCGAGGAAACTAACTCTCCTCAAAGTCCTGAGACTCCACTTTGCACTTCTTTGTGGGCGGGGCCTCTTGGTCCACATCCTGAGAGACAAACCCAAAACACCGATTGGTGGCTCTGTCGTCTGTTGTGGGTACAAGCGGACCTGTTGTCATGGTTACCTGAGTGGCTTTGCCGTTGGAGTCTTTTTCGGGGTCCCGCTTTGCGCTTCGCTCAGACGCTTCCGCCGACGCCGCGTTCTTACCTGAGAGGTTGGCCGCAACAGAAACGAGACGTGGGCTAACGATGCCAACACGAGCCGCTTGGGCCAACAATGTGAACATTTAGCCCCTTGCGGGCGCCCTTTTGGTACACCGTGCGCTTTTAATTTTAAACCTCACCGCTCCAAGGCAAATTGTTGTCGGGGACACGTTAGCGTGAGTCTCTCACCCCTCTTAGCGTCTGGACTTTGCTCGGTCTTGATGTCGCTATTGTCGCGTTGAGAAGCTCCGGCAGACTCTGGTGCTGGGCTGGTGCTACAACTTGTTTCTTGTTTGACGGGCGAAGAGTCAGCGATGGAGCTCTGGTTGCTGTTGTCATCTGGAATGCACAATATTGAAATATTTGACCGTTCTTTTCCCCACCCGTGGTGAAATGCGGGACGGGAAGCATTTTTGATGCCCACCGTGCATGTCCATCATGCCGGGAGAGGAGCTGTTCTCGGGGGTGGTCAACTCGGAACCGTATTTCTCATCCTTGCCCTTCTTCTTGTTCTTGTTTTTCTTCAAGACAAGAAGAATGAATAAAGCAATCCAAAGTCACACACAGATCAGACCGCCGACCTCTGGGTTGGGAAACGACCACGCTACCACTGAGCCATGACCCCGTTTCTATCCCAACGGGATGTTCGGATGGGAAATATTCCAAACTGCAAACTCTCAATGGAAAGTGAAGCTATTTTAATGGCAATGTATTATAATGAAGCTTAAATAAAAGAAAAGTTTTGTCCTCAGCAAACACCCATACAAAATCTCTCTTTCCTTCCCCACATATTTTTTTGTTGTTAAATCAAGGTACATGCATGAAATCTGGTTATTTTAGCCAGGACGATGTCACAGTACAAGCTGTGTTAAAAACCAACATTCTGTTTTTTTTAACATTCCTTCTTAACTTGTTGTAATTCCCATGGAAAATTTCCAGCTTTGTAAATTCCTCGAATTTTGCAATCCTACTCACGTCATCCGACTTGGGCTCCGTCACCGGCACCCATTTGTAGATACGAAGGGACGTGTCTCCCACAGTCACCCATTTCTTCTCCCTGGACACAAACAGCAGAATTGCATGGCAGCAGTACATCTTCTCAAAACTGCGCAATTCTAAATAAGTCCAGTTTAATGCGATAAAGTTTTCCATCGTGCATTTTGCTCCGCGCTTAGAGCGCCATCTCTTGGTAAAAATAACCATAATAAGTCATAAGGACGTCATAAAATGGGAAATGATCATTTTATTCCATTCACGATATGCACTGTTAACTAAATATTTAGGGGTCATGCTTCCAACCAGTATTTCGACTGGGCGACCCGCACTAGCACGCGTTTACTGCTGTGCTAATTTCACACACCCGCGTAAATGGCAACTGGGTGTGTAACTGTTATAATAAAATAACAATAAAAATGACTGAACTGTAAGCTGTAATATTACAAAGTTTTGACCCAGTGTTGTGCGTCCAATTAGTATTGTGAGCAAGCAAGCACGAGTTAGCACACACTAAGTGACAAGCTAAATTCACACATACTAACTGTCGAAGCTGATTAAGCTGTTCAAAACAAATTTTAATGAATCACAAGAATTTCGTTGTGTTGAAACCTTTGACCCGGCCGGGGTATGTGCGTTTATCAATGCAATTGTACTATACAATCTAGCAAGCATTTTGCGCTGTGCTAATTTCACGCACTCAGTGTCAATTCTAACTGAGCATGATATAGTGATGACAGTGATGTTGTATTTATTTATTTATGAACTGTTGGCGCAGGTGAAATGCGCTCAAGCCACAAGTTACATTGCGACCACGCATAACATGCGGTGACAATTTAACACACCCAACTGTTAATGCTAATTAAACCTGATAGTTTGAACTAATTGCAATTCAGTGAAATCATTGTTTTTCAAGCCATTCACCGCCCCGTCCCAGCAGCCGACTTCCCGCACCCCACCCCCACCGCCACCCTGGAGCCTCGTTCTCTTACTCACTTCGACCAAAAAAGGCGCTTGGTATAAGACCCCCCAAAGAGCTTCAAAGTGCTCGTAGTCGAGGACTTAGTCGTTCAAACGTCGCCGGGTCGAGCATCGCGGCTCTCCGGGGCGTTCAAAGCCGTGTGTGTTCGGCTTCAGGCGGCTTCATGTGACTGATTTCGAAATGGCTCCTGGTTTCCACCGCGCGGGCAGGAGGAGCTGCTCCGCAGCCGGGCGACAGCTCCCCTATGCTGGTACACACACGCGTCGCGAACCAGCTCGATCGTCAAAAGCCTCCTAATTGTTTCATTTCAGTAGGTTCCCCATTCGCACCCCCCCAGCCCCGGCAACACGGCTTTCTCTCGTTAGATAACCACAGAGACTGCTTTTTGTCTCCCACCCCCCTCAACACACCGCCTTCCCCTCCACCGCCTCTTACCATTTTCGTACTTTCTCGATAGCGGCCATAACTCGCTTGATGTCATCCTTGGCCCTGCTCCGGGTCTCCGCTCGGACCGACCTGCCCGACATTGCAGCGTTAAGGGGAGGGGGGGTATATATTCGAAGGACGGGCTCGCCGGTCCGGCTCTGTTCCGTTCAGACACAATGCAAACAGTGGAGAGAGCAGGGCACTGTGCGCATGCGCCGCCTGGGGTTGAGCACATGGGTAAGGGCGGGGCGAGCAGGACCAAGTCAGGCTATGCTAGCAGTACCAATTGCGCTCGAAAAAGTTTGGATGAAAATGACAATTTGCTGGCCACGTTTCACATTTATCACCCACGTAGTCTACAAATCGCTGTCTGGTGACTTTAGACTGAATTTGAGAGGCTTACGCGTGTTCGTAAAAGCATGATTGGGTCTTTTCCAGCCAACGTTTCTGACTTTGGCCGATAGAGGCCGCTGTTGCGGCTGCAAAAAGCCGATAACTCGGCAAGAGTGAAAAATCCCTTAAAGTGGGGACCCGGTGCCATCATGCAAACGTTGCAACCACCGCCCCCTTTTTTTTATGAACTTTTTTGCATTATAGTACTAGTAGTAGTAGTAGTAGTAGTAATACATATTATTGTTGTTTTTTGCTTGAACACATTTTATTTCTCAAAAATCTAAAAATTAAAACATGCAGTGACAGTAGTTCGAAGCCATGATTATGACACCCCACGACACGGGGTGTATAGTGACGTCATACATCGGCGACAATCCCAAAACCTTAAATAAACACTTAAACACACACTCACACAAAGACACGCGCACAACCGCTTTAACGGGTTTTTAGTCAAATCTTAATCATGTAGTTACAACTTTTTCTTTTCATATTAACTTTTACAACATCGTTATTAGCGTGACACGCTCAACTCGCGATGACTTCCGTTTACTAAAGTTGGTCAAAACTCGCCGCGACGCGATTGGTCGGCGCTCCCTCCATGGGGGCGCGGTTTACGTTTGGCTCTTTTGGGCGCCGCTCTCTGCTGGACTAGTTGAAGCCACGGTCGTGAGAGTTCCAGTGGCGGAAGCGTTAGCGGCCGAGCCGAGGGAAGAGGCGCTTGAAACCGAAATATGGACTTCTCTTCCGGCAGGTGACAGTGGTCGCCACCCGGTGCGAAGAAGCCACAACTCCATTGCTTACTTCCGCGGCCGTTTGTTGTGTTTATACCCGCCGCGCGGAGAATGAAGTCACTGCGCAGGTGCGGGATAATTAGCGGCTAACGCTTACTTTTTGGGGGGCGGACGGACGTCCTCGATGGGGGGTCTTCTCTTCCTCCTTCTTTTCTTCGTCCTTGCGTGAGACGACCATGGAGGGGAGTGGAGAAATGTCCGCCCAAGTGGATTTGAGAGGCGGCCACCTCGACTCGGATTTCGGGAGAGTTTCCAAAGTGGAAGAGGATCGAAATACAGAGAGTACAGAAGATGATGAGTGTGAAGAAGACGAGAAGGTAAAAAAAAAAATCAAATAAAAAGCATGCATAACTTAAGCCTCCCCCACCCCCTCAAAAAAAACATCACTCGTTTTTCACTGTAAAACCACATTTTGGGACCCACGCTTGGCAATCACAGGGTCCTTCACATCTGTGTACTGCAGTGCAAAGTTTTATTTTCACATCCATGGACAAACTCTCAAAATGTGGGCATCTGCAAGCAGACGTTTATCTTTTGTTCGTGAAAAAAGAAGACGCCACAGAAGATAAAAGCAAACAATTAACAGTTGAATTTGATCAAATGCTCCTTTCTAGCCCTCCTTTTTCTTTGTCTTCCTGTCCCGTTTCTGACTTTTGTGCTGCTCCACTTTTTGTTTTTTCTTTCTTGTTTTGTGCCATCAGGTTACATTTGTCCATGACACACTTAAAATGACACCAAAATCAGCCAATGGGGCCGTTGTCAATTATGTTAGGGCTGAAACCTAAAACTGGGATAAATGCTTAATTTTCCTTGTGTATTTGAAACGATATATGAAACTGCACGTTAATAATACTTTGTAGGTATGTCAACATAAAAGTAATCCATTTTCCACCCTGTTTCCCCTTTCAAACATCCCATTGAAGGTGAAGGGGCAGTGAAAAACAAGTGTGTCATTCACCGCTTTTACAGCTATGACAGGCCATTACTTGCCTTTTGGATGCTTAATGACTTAATGCAACTTTCTTTAGAAACTTGGCTGAAGGCATGAGGCATGTTTATCAGCGCACTCCTCACTCAAAGGAGAAAAACTTGTTTGAATAAAAACAAGATTTCCCACAGCCACACCAACATTGAGGAGGCACTTCCTCAGCTTGTGCCAAGTTGACAAAGTGCTTGGCCGAGGTTATGATCTGCATATTGTCTCTTTTTCCCACGTGTGTACTCCTCCCTGTTTTTCCCCAGGTTCTGAAAAAAAAGAAACAAAAACCACCGCAAAGGACCATTATTTGGCAACTCTAGCACCAGAAATGTAAATCGTATTGTTCCAGGCCAGGCAATAAGCTTAAACAGATTTAAGCTTATTGTTACACATGAACGTCAGTACAATTTTCATTACGGTTAAATTTTTAGATACACCATAAAAAGTATTTTTCTTGGTGTCTGTTCTCACTCTCGTTGGCGCAAATATGAGGCAAAACGTGCATACTTCAAGGTGTTTGTCTATTGAAGAAAAAGTTTCCTGCAAAACTGGCTTGCAAAATACAAAGTCCAAGAGAATCAATTGATTAAAAGAAACATTGCATATTTAAACAGTAAAACTTGAACCAAGCCAGCTAAGTTCGACTGAAAGCCTGCCAGCTTAATGCTAACATCATGTGAAACGCCACACGCTTTTTAGCATTAAAACGTCGGCGCAGCTACACTCCCCAAGTGCAAATTAAAACCAAGTTGCCATGCCAGCTTCCCCACAACAGGCAGAAATTAAAATTGATGCGTCCGGAGGTATTCGCATTGCGACGCCACCGATCTTTATCCCCATACTCAGTGAAATCTTACAAAAGTGACAGATCCAATTGTGAGTCATCACCCTTTTTTGTGTGTGTGTGTGTTAGTAGCCGTCATGGTAATAGAAAATATGTTTGCTGGATTATTTGTAGTGAACATTGCCAGCAATGTGTTTTCGTTTCTTTTTTTTTTTTTTTTGAATTGCAGAGCGCGTGTGTGCGTGCGTGCGCGCGCGCGCGCAATGTTTAGATGACTTTTATTCCGGAAATAGACGGGTGGGAAAATGAGGAACTTATGGATGTTTGCGACCGGCTCAGAAAAGTGCCTGGCTTATTGCGAGTGTGGAGAATTCCAGCAGCAGTTTCTCCATTTAAAAAAAAAAAAAATATATATATATATATATATACATATATATATATATATATAAGTTACCATACATTATTTTTTTTTTAAATGTCTCAGATATTTCAAATGAGTTTAGCTGTTAGCCGCTAGCTTTAGTGACGCCGACGCTGTTGACATTGCTCGGCGGCAGTGTTGAAGTATCAAAAACCTGTCCGCTCGTCCCGTAGGTGTGAGCATCCTGCTTTGCTGAACAAGCATCCTGGGGCAGTTGGCGTGGCACGAATACGACGGGGCGGGCCGTGTGCCTGAAAAACACTTGAGTCGGGGGCTTGTCGTGCGTTTCTGTCTCCAAGCACCTGTTGACTTGGAGGGAAGGAAATCGACTGGCTGTCAATGATTGCACCGCCCCAGCAAGACCCGCTATCTCCGGGGCTGCCAGCGACTGATAACAGGGGGATTGGCAAAGACCAACGCGTCTTGAGCGGAATGAATACCCAGTGAAGCGCCGTTTATCATATCATTTGCATACGTTCCAGGCCCACCCACAATTGGTTTAAAAAAAGGATATATTCCAGACACTTTTCCAAACAAGAAGCCAAGTGTGCTTGCTTCAAGCTGTTCTTTGTCACTTTCAGCTGAAGGTGACTGTAAAGCCGACATATAAAACACCAGAATGTTTAACCAAACCATATAATATCGTCAGGTAACACTCGTTTAAACATCCAAGAAAGAGACGACGACGGCGGCGGCGGATAAAGACGTGCAAATACCTTCGCGTCGCAGGCGCATACAGATGCAAAATTCCCCCTTTGTGACGAAGACAGGCGCAAATAGACACACGGCTATTTTCCAAACAAGTCTGGAAGCATCGAAGAAACACACAGGGGCACATATAGATGTCCAAAAATGTGATGCAGGCACATATAAGACACACAACTCGGTCACAATGCACATTAAAGAATGAGACACAACTTTGCGCCGTCAAAATTAGCATGGGAAGCAAAATCAGTCGTGAACCTCAGCGCTCAATTGTTTTTTTGTTTTTTTTTAAAAGAAAATTCCACAAAGACGGCGGCCACTTGTCACCTTGCTACCTTTCAGCTGACAGATTGGGGGCTCAAATTGTTGATTCCATCAAAGTTACCTCATTGCTGGCCCGGCGGTGCTTCACTCCACTATTTGCTCGCACTGGATAATGTTTAACTTTGTATTGCTGTCAGCCCGGACAGCCGGACGGGCGCCCGCTAACTGTGTACGCTTTAGCGGCTAATAGGATTAGCGCAATCTGATTAACTCTCCTTTTCCCAGAGAACGTTTCCCTTCCTGGCGTTGCATCTTTTTGATTTTTGACACCTGTCCTGCCACTTTTTGAATGACACACGACAGAGGTACATTTGGACTCGAACGCCGGCTAACATGTCGCATGGTCAGAATTTACCCTGCGGCCAATTTCTGGAGGGAAACAAGGTAGGCGGAGTTAGACTTTAACTGAAGACTTCAGACGTCATTCGGTCACTGAAAATTTTGATTTTCTGCGTAAATTATGTCTGATTTTCATACTTTCCCTTTGCCTAAGAACCATCAAGATTTTACTGCGTAACTCACATATGCGTTATTAATAATCAGAATGCCGCGTTTTGACGAGTGGGGTTGCATCGAACATATTCTTGTCAAGAATATTTTTGGGTTGACTCCTACTGAAATTTGATCCACCCGACCTTAAAACGTCCTGAATTACATTTTCCAGAATCATGACCCCAATAGCGCTTCACGTTTTTTTGACCCGCAGAGTGTCGGAGAGCTTCGTCGGCAAAATATAGAAACACTTGTCGGTGCTTCTTCACACTTTCTGCCGCAGCGGTGTGAAGTCACCGTTGGAAAGAGCCTCCTATATTTTCCAA